ATTAAAAAGGCACTCTGTCTTCAGTGATGTTGTGTGCCTTCAAGTCGTTTCCAACTCATGACTAAGGAGACCCCATCATGGGGTTGAGCAAGCCAGCATGGTGTTGTGATTTGAGCATTGGATTACATTTCTGGAGATCAGAGTTTGATTTCCCAAATGAACATGAAAACCCACTGGGTGACCTTGGGCAAGTCACACTTTCAGCCTCAGAGGACCGCAATGGCAAGCCCCCTCTGAAGAAACTTGCCAAGAAAACCCAATGATAGGTTTGGCTTACGGTCACCATACGTCAAAAATGACTTGGAGGCACACAACAAACTTCGGTATTGACTCACTGAAAGCTGTTTAGTATTTCCCTAGAACTTCACACCTTTTGAGGAACATAACACAATAGCTCCTTACATAGTTCTACAGTTAATACTTACTTATCAGCTCCTGGGATGTTAAATCTGCCCATCTTCTCAGTTCCCTTTCATTTCATCTCTTTTCTTCCTTTCCTCTAGTAAATCTGATTTCAAGTGCTTCTGAAAATGTCATAGTCTAGTGGAGATGATGCCATAATGAATCCTTTTAACAATAGGCTGTTCATAAGCCATAGACAGTGAGGAGGTGTGGAGGGTATGTTTGTGGAGGGAGAAGGAAAAGAGAAAGAGAGACCAGAAATATGATTTTGGAAAAGAAATTATAATCATCACAGAATGAAGAAGGCTGTAATAGACAGATTCAAATGGAGAGTTTGAAATGGAGGGTTAAAGTTCATGAAGCTCAAGAATTCAAGCAGAGACTAACCCAACCAGCTTGTCAGTCTCCAATAGGTATTAGTTACAGGAAAATCTGATGTGTTAGACACAGCATGGAGTACCTAAGGAATCAGGTGAGAACATTACTTGAAATACCAAACAAATTTTTTGAAACATTTCTGCATGCTTTGAATTTAAAACAAGTAAGCTTCTGGAGGAAAAAAGTGATAAATAGGACTTTCAGACATTTCAAACTGATTGGAAAGTGGAATATATGCCAATTGAGAAAAGGCCAAGAATTAACAGCCTGTGTTTGCATATTGAGTCAAACTATAGTGTGTTTTTAAAAAATGTGGCTTGTTATGATATGCAGACTTGTGCCTTCTAATAAATCATGGTTTGTTAACTAGCCATAGACCATAATCTGAAACCATTCTTTGGGCCTTTGCAGACTGCCAGAAATAGTGCACATTAAATTGAGGCACTGCCCTGGCTCAGTGCTAGGGAGTCATGGGACTTGTATTTTTTTCTGAGACATTGAGCCTTCTCTGTCAGAGAGCTCTGGAGCCACAATAAATTACAGTTCCCATGATTCCCTAGCACTGAGCCAGGGCAGTGCCTCAATTTAATGTGCACTATTTCTGGCAGTCTGCAAAGGCCCTTTGTTACTGCTTTATGAACTCTGGCTTGTTTAAATCACAAACTGTTGTAATGTCTCAACCTGTAACCATGCCTGTACCCAGATATTTTTCCTTAGCTGCCCACCTTTAAACAGGAGTTGACAAAACAGGCTGGAGAGAGGGGAACAGGCAAGGTTTCTTTGGTTGTCTCTGTGTGGCCTATGCAATGAACCATGGTTAACACATAAACTCTTGCTAACTGTCCCGGTGTATATGCATTCAGCTTTGTTAAAGTTGCGTATGTATTTAGATGTGTTTTGAGATCAAGGCAAAAATGACTTTTGCTTTAATATGCATTATACATGTGACAATTAGAAGAAACTATAATGATACACCATTATGTGGTGTATGTGTATAATGATACACTATTTAGCATATCTTACAAATTAATTGTACAGGTTATACTACTAATAGATTTTGAAATCAAGTGTTTGAGAATGTGATTATCTTATGGAAACATCAGAAAAATGAGAACAGATTCTTGAACACCAATTTGTGTATTTGTCTTATAGTGTACAGCTTTATCCCACTTGTTTACTTTGCTTGTCAATTTCATCAAGCAATTAAGAGAACAGTAGGTGTCTGAGCCTCCTCCTATTCATTTCCTGTACTATAGTTATACTCAACCAGACAGACTAGTTCAAGACAGACTAGTTCTACCTTCTCGGATGACCTAGCAGCACGAGCAGAATACAGAAACTGTGACTGAGCCTTTACATAAATTATTCTGCCTATTTGGACAACAGTAGTCTATATATCTGAGATAGTTCGGTTGTGTGGTAGGGTGGTTTTGTTTTGTTGTACTTCTTGAAAGAGAGGAGGAAGGACATTAATGGTACAAGGCTTAAAACTGTCTACTAAAAAGTGAATCCTACTGACCTGGAGTAGAAATTAGCACCAAATTCACATGTTCATGTTTGTTAGTGGATTTCTCAGAGGGTGTATGCACCTGTCTATGTAACCTGAGGAACACAGGAAGTATGGGGTCTGTAGGGCTACTTGTAGGTTTCTATCCCTACCTACTTCCACATGTGCACAGTGAAGTTTAGTTTGGATGAATAAAAGTAGATAATGAAATTGTATACTGCTTCAGACATTTAGAGATGTGTGCCACATATGTGTGAATATATCCAGATTTCTGAATTGCCTGTACAGATGTAGGATAGGTCTACACAATGGACTAGAGTGAATGAAAAATATAGCTCTCAGGGATATCTGTGTTGTTTCGTGGTGCAGAATCATGTGTACTGGAAGCCAATGGTCCCAGGTGCATGGCTTGACATTTTCAGTAAAAGCAGAGAGGAACGGGAAACCCTCCAGAGTCCAGTTCACATTTGCTCCAGCCAGCATGGCCAACAGCTAGAGATGATGGATGTTTTAGTTCAATAATATTGGAAGGGGACAAATTTCTCTCCTTGAATACAGAATCTCACAGCAGGGTGAAATCTGTTCCCATTTAGCATTGACAGTACAGGTTGAGTCTCCATTATTGGGAATTCCAAAATATTCCAAAATCCAAAACTCTCCACATGAATGGCTGAGATAGTGACACCTTTGCTTTCTGATGGTTCAATTTACACAAACATTTGTTTCATGCATAAAATTATTAAAAACATTGTGTATAAAATTACTTTCAGGCTATGTGTATAAGGTCCCATCTCCAAGATATCTTGTTATGTATGTGCAAATATTCCCAAATAATAAAAACTCTGAAATGCAAAACACTTCTGGTCTCAAGCATTTCAGATAAGGAAGAGTCAACTTGTACTGGTCTAACTAGACAATCTAGTGGATTGAATATATAACATTGGATGGATATGGAAACTGCATTAGATTGGATGACTATGGAAAAATTCTGGGCTTTAGGAGAGAAAGCCTGTTTCTAAATTCAAATAAAGCTGACTCAATTGTCTGTGAACCCCTTCACACTACACAGTTATAGCCCATTTTCATAGTCTATATTCTATTGAAACCTGGGACTTGTAGTTTGGTCAGATGCACTAGATGAGCTCTCTGGCTTAGACTTCCCAATCTCAGGATTCCATAGGATGGAAACTTGGCAGTTAAAGTGGAAACATAGTGCTATAACTGTGTAATGTGAAAGAGTCCTGAAATAGTCGAAGTCCAGCTATTGCCAGAAGTGTCTCATGACTAGGGCTTGAATACAAACCTTTGCCTTTTTTCTGTAAATGAATACCATTGCATAAAAATGATTGACAGAAAAACAGTAAGGGAATAATCGGCAAGAAAAAAAAAACTTGAAACACTACAATGGGTAGAAATGAAATTTCTGGAATCTTTATTTAAACTGGGCAAGTGTTTTAAACAATTGGCTTGGTGCACAAATAATAATTGTACACAGCCTGAACATTGTATTCTCTATGTGAAGCATTTTGGTCCAGTCAGAGGTTTTAATTTTGGGACATCAGAATCCCTGCTGCATTTCAGAACCTTGGTTACTCAACTTTAGGATAACTCACAGAGCTTGGGGAAGTTACTTAATTACTATAAATTTCATACTGTTCTATGCAGTATGATCGACAAAAACTAACCTAACTTTCCCATGGTCTGCATCTATATCACTGGCCAACTCCTTAAGAGTGAATGTTGCTGTAACAAATCAGGGCCTTTGAATATTTGGGAAGCACATCTGACACACAAATCATTTTTATAGTGGGCATAGGGTGTTGGCGATGGCAGAGAGAATGCCTTTATAAGATATTATTACTGTAAGAAAATAATTACAAGAAATGCTTATAAGTGATGCTGGTAGTTTTCAGGTTAGTGGGCCATGAAATTTTGCTTGTCCATCCTTCACATCGTCTTCACTTCAAATCCAAGTATCTTAAAAAGCAACCCAACCTCAAAAGTGAAGTCATGCCAAAGGCTGTGTGTGTGTGTGTGTGTGGGGGCTTCTTGCAAATGAAAAAGATTTCTCCCCCTAAATAATCCAATTACATTTTTTCCCCATTAGAAATGCTCACAACATCAACATTCAGCAATCAATCTGTTTTACATAAACATATCAAATAGTAAAGCCATGCTCTCACTGTGTGGGAACTTTGCAAATAAGTGCCTGCCATGTGGGGTAGGATGATGGTACAAATTAAAGAAGCAGCCTAACATTTTGTTGGCAGACCTACTCTGACTGAAATCAGTAGCAAAACTCCTACTGGATTCAATGCTCCTCAATGTTGCTTTAACTGTAGAGGATTCAAGTACAAAACTAGATCAAAGTCTGGCACATCATAATTGTTGCTGTTGTTAAAACATTTATATGTCACCCTGTATCAAAGATCTCAGGGCAGCTTACAAAGAGCATTAAAACAAGTTACAAAATTTAAAATGATAGAATTATTAAATAAGCTAAAATATATATTTGTGGCGTGTGCCTTCAAGTCGTTTCTGACTTATGGCAATCCTAAGGCGATCCTATCATGAAGTTTTCTGGAGCTGAGTGTATGTGACTCAACCAGGGTCACCCACTGAGTTTCCATGGCCGAGTGGAGAATCAAACCCTGATCTCTAGAGTTGTAGTCCAATGCTCAAACCATTACACCATACTAGCTCTCAAAAAACACATAGTCAGTAGGATTTGAACCTGCATGGGGAGACCCCAATAGATTTCTAATCCATTGCCTTAACCACTTGGACACAACTAAAGGTAAAGGTAGTCCCTTGTCATGAATGTTTAGTCGTAGCCAACTGTAGCGGTGCTCATCTCCGTTAATAAGCCGAACAGCCAGCTTTGTCCAAGGACTACTCTGGTGGTCATGTGGACAGCATGACTGTCCTGAATGCTGTTTACCTTCCCACCAAAGTAGTACCTATTTATCTATTTGTATTTGCATGCTTTTGAATTGTTATGTTGGAAGAAGCTGGGACTAGTAACAGGAGCTTACCCCATCATGCAGCACTTGGGCCTTGAACTGCCAACTTTCTGATCTTCTGATCGTCAGAATTGGTGTCTTAACCACTAAGCCACCACATCCCTACTCCCAGCATATTAAACAGCAAAACATGTTAAACAGCAATATCAAGTTAATACAGATTTTAAAGGATTAAAAGCTTTTTAAACTGTATACAGCTACATTTGGGTTGAATTAATGAGGCCCAAAGGCTTTGATGAACAGCCAAGTTTTAACTTGGCACCCAATTGACTTGAGTGTAGGAGCCAGTTGGGTCTCCAAGAGGAGGGCATTCTACAACTGGAGTGCTATAACTGCGAAGGCTGTCTCTCATGTCCCAACACAGTGTATTGATCTCACTAGAGAGACATAGAGGAGCCCACCAGCAGACCTTAATCCTTGAACAAGCATATGCGTAAACTGAGGTCCCAAGCCATTTAGGGCATTAGCTGTCATCACAAGCACCTTAAATTCATACCAGAAACATATGTGATATTCCAGTCAGCAGTCGAGTTGCTGCATTTTTTTCACTAGTTGCAACTTCCGAGATTTCTTCAAGGGCAGCCGGTTTCTACCTGTTCATGCAATCCTGTTGTTTCCTGTTGTGAAATGTCACAAGATGCTATAGTGGCACATTACAAGCAAAAACTCTCAGAAACCAGGCAAGAATGCATTAGTAATATGGAAGAATTTTGTCAGATGATTTGTATGTTTAACTCACTATTTACATCCTGGACAGCAGCTTTTTAGGGTCTCAATGTTCTCTTCTGGAACAGATTATTAATCCCATCCCACCACAAGACCTTGGGCTCGTTCCCACTATGATTTAAATCGATTTGCTGATCGGTTTATAGGTGCCTCGTTCACACTATAAACAGTTTCAGACCCGACTGTGTTTGGACTGAGTTGTATTAAAGCAAGGCAAATGTGAATAAATAAATAAATAAAAAAATCTATCTTTTCGAAGACGGATCTTTTGGTGGTTCTTTTGAAAAGATTTGATTTGCAAGCGTATGCAGCAAGTGTGAATGACGTTCAGATTAGATTCACATTGCACTGGAGGGGAGGGGAGGGACTATGGCAGAAGCTTGGCAGAGGGGTGTGACCCATCCTGCCCCAGTTTTGGGGGAAATCTGCCATTTCCCCTCCTCTCCGTACTGTGAGTGATGTCTTTTGACTACCGTTGTGGCTTTATTTTCCCCCTTTAAACACTGCCAAGTGGTCCCTGTGAATATGACTGTTTTGAGCTTTTCTTGGGTCCTGTCCTCCATTTGGCCTTGCAATAATAATAATAATAATAAATTTTTATTTATAGCCCGCCCCTCTGCTCAGCAATCGGGGCGGGGTACAATAATATTTAAAACAGAACAAAGTTAAAACATTCCCTCACCCCATAATCCCACCCTCCCATCCCCTTAAAACAGAATTAAACAACAAACTAATTAAAATACAATATTAAAATAAATTTAAAACATCCAATTAACATAAGGAATCAGAATAGTGGATTAGGGGCTCATCTCTCGGCTGATAGTTATTCCGGGAAGGCCTGCCGAAAGAGATCTGTCTTTCGTGGTGTCTCATCTTCCTTGGCAATGAGGACCCCTGGACAGCCCTTGCGGGGCTCCTCTGCCTCTGCCCCAGGGCCCTCAACCCAATGGATCCCAAACCCCAGCTGGAAGGTCCCCTCTGTGGTGGGTGGCCCAAGAGTTTGGCCTGCCTGAAGCGAGGCAGCCCACCCGCTGCCCCTTTCACACAAGGAATTTCCCAGCCTTTCTGCAAGTAGCCAAGAAACTGAGAGGCTTCTCCTTGTTGTTGTCTATCTTCAAGTTGTTTCCGACTCATGCTGACCCTATCGTGACTTTGGGGAAGGTTTATCTCTGAGGCTGAGAGAGTGTGAGTTGCCCCAGGACCGATCAGGGATTCGAATTGTGGCCTCTAGAGCCCAAAGCTGGCTCTGAGGGGCAAAAAGGGGGCCCATAAGCAAACCCATAAGCGCTTTTCTCCCTTCCTGGCGGGAAAAAAAAACCCCAAAGGCAAAAGGAGAGAGAGAAGGAAAAGAGAGAGCGTCTGAGGGCCTATAGAGGTACTCTTTTTTGCACCTTTCCTGGAGCCAGGATGCACCTGCTGCTCTCCCCTTGGAGGAGGAGGAGGAGGAGGAGGAGGAAGACCTGCTAGGGCTCTCCCAACCGCAAGTGGCCCTCGACTGTCTTTCTAGGGAAAGGGCCTCTGGGTGCCCAACACTTCTGCTCCTCAACGGGCGAGGAAGCTGCCTTCCTTCTGAGCTAAGCCCTCACAATGAAGTGGAAGCCAGAAAAAGTTAGTTTTCAGGACTTCTTCTTGCTCTTGCTGTGTATTTTCAACTTGTTCCTGACTTATGATGAAACCATCATGGGGTTTTCTTGGCAAGGTTTGCTCAGAAGGAGGTTTGACTTGCCATCCTCTGGGGCTGAGAGAGTGTGACTTTGCCCTTGCCATCTTCTGTAAGAAAAAGAGTATGACTTTGCTCTTTGCCATCCTCTTTGACTAAGGGCCCTTACAGACTGCCATAAATAGTGCAAATTGAGTCCACTTTAACTGCCCTGGCTCAGTGCTAGGGAATCATGGGAACTTAGTTTATTGTGGCACCAGAGCTCTCTGACAGAGAAGGCTCAATGTCTCAAAAAAAAAAAAATACAATTCCCATGATTCCCTAGCATTGGGCCAGGGCAGTTAAAGTGGTCTCAAGCTGCATTATTTCTGGCAGACTGTGAAGGCCTTTGTGGCTCTTTTCTGGCCTTTGCTGTCAGAGGCGGTTGCCTCCCTCTTCCCAAGGCTGGGGCCGGACGGAGGACACAGAGTTCTCTCTGGCCAGAATGGCCACAGGCCCTCCTTTTCCAGGATATGTCCTCCATTTCACCCTTCTGTCCAAGAAGAATTCCACAATGTCTTCCATAGTCATCACTAAGAAGCATGCATTTACATTTAAGTGTTTTTATCTTTTATACTCCAATATCCTCCATTATATACAGGACATTATATAGGTGGCTATATACTATATACACAGGGTGACCAGCCATCCTCCTTTTCCCAGACACATCCTTTATCTCAGCCTTCTGTCCAGGAGGAATTCCCAAAAGCCACCCTCCCCCCAGTTTGGAGCAGGACTCAGAAGCATGGACTTAATCTTTCTAGGAGTGTTTGGAGCTTTTCTTGGGTCCTGTCCTCCATTTTGTCTTGAATGTCCTCCCTTTTGCAGTGCCTGGTCCTCCTTGGTGGTGAAGACACCTGGCCCTTTGTATCTACAGGGAGGGCAGCTCTGCCACTGGAGGGGCATCCTCTTTTGAGGAAAGGATCCTCAATTTGGCCCCCTCCCTGCCTTTGCCCCAAAAGGAGGGTCCCTGGCTGACCAGAGCCCAGGGCCTTTCCCTCCAGAGAGGGGTCTGCTGCCTCCTTCCCTCTCAACCCTTGGGGCTGGGGGGCTTCCCTATCACGCCTGAAATAATTCAACCAATTCCCCCTTTGGAGGCTCCCTGCGCAAGGAGGGACCTGGACGGCCTTCCATTTTGGGGGGTGCCTGGTCCTCCCAGACCACCCTTCCCTTTGTCTCCTTCTTCCTTACGTCACCGATGAGGCGTAGATGCACTTCATATAATTGACATTAAAAAAAAAACTGGGACAGATCAATCGCAATCGATACTGGACATGCATTCTGCAGTGGGGCAAATTTAGTGGGAACGACAATCATGTCAAAAAAGACACAAATGCATGGAATAAGGAAATAATTCGCTTCCATAGGGGAACGACACATCGGCCTGAATCGAATTAGCAACCCGGTGTCGATGTGAATCGGAAACCCGTTTAAATGCAAGTGGGCATGAGCCCCTCGTTTGCTACTGAACACACATTGCTCTTGTTAAGATAAGGTTTATTAATGGTGAATGATATAGCTGGTGGTCGTCTACAGCTAAGCAAACATCACATTACTTGTTAGAGTCCAGCATTCCCTTCCAGACAACAACCATGAATTCTACCAGAGTGTCCCTGGCCAGCAAACCAATTTTCCATGGTTGGTTATGGGGAGCCTCTGGGCTGAGTTGCATCCCTGCTCCCACAGGGCAAGGCCAATATGTGATGGATTTCAAAGAGTTACATAGTGCAGAATCAAACAGAGAAAAGTGGAGTGTGCAAACATGACCCACTTCCCTTCCCCGCCATAACTATGAGATCTGTTGAAGCAGGTTTCTAAAAGAGATTGTCCATTTCCCCCAGTCCATTCCCAGCCTTCATATTTTTTTTCCAAGTCTCAAACTGCCAAACCACAGCAAAAGATATCTAACAAAGTTACTAAATACAAATTAACCCTTGTGTGATGTAGTGGTTTGAGTGTTGAACTATGACTCTGGAGACCAGGGTTCAAATCCCTGTTGGACTGTGGGTTAACTGGGTGACCTTGAGCAAGTCACACTCTATCAGCCTCCAAGGAAGGTGGTGGCAAACCTCCTCTGGACAAATCTTGCCAAAAACCCAAAGTGACAGGATCACCATAACTTGGAAATGACTTGAAGACACACAACATCATCAACTAGGCTACTCATTCTCTTCATGGCAGGGGCTAAACTCACTACATTCAAGTTACTTCTGGATGAAGCTTTTACCATGCAATTGCCATGGAATTTTACAGATTGTCTGTGGTGTATTTCCACTACTTGGAAGTCTCATAAGACCAGAGGAAGCTGGTAAACATCTAAACCAGCATTATAAACTCTGACTGGCAG